AAACATGTATGAGTCTGCATTTATAACTATAATGTTCATGATTTTTCCTATTAGAAGTATTTACTTCATCTTGTCTTCTAATGTAGCTGTACCTGATTACATCATGGTCCTTTTTATTTTCTTCAACTGCTTTGCCTGTTTTTCTGCTCATATTAATGAAGGACTAGGTCAATGAACAGTCAGGGTACACAAACAGCTTCCCTAATCATGGAAGTATGCAGGCAGGCGAAAGAGCCTCTTAACTCTCAAAGCAGGGAAAACTTCATTATGAAACTTTGCAGTACATTTCATTCCAAAACCAAGCATTTTTTCTCTTCCTTCCTACTTTATTTACAACCACTATAGAGAGTTTGGGGTTTTATTTTGTTTTTTTTTTTGAGACGGAGTCTTGCTCTCTTGCCAGGCTGGATTGCAGTGGCATGATCTCAGCTCACTGAAACCTCTGCCTCCCAGTTCAAGCAATTCCCATGCCTCAGTCTCCCAAGTAGCTGGGATACAGGCACGCAGCACTACGCCCAGCTAATTTTTTGTATTTTAGTAGAGATGGGGTTTCACTATGTTGGCCAGGATGGTCTCAATCTCCAGACCTCTGATCTGCCCGCCTCAGCCTCCCAAAGTGCTGGGATTACAGGTGTGCGCCACCACGCCCAGCTGAGTTCAGGGTTACATAAGAGATGTATGTATCATACAATTTACTTGAGTGTTTTTTTTTTATGTTTTTATATATTTTTTGAGACGGAGTCTTGCTGTGTTTCCAGACGGACTGCAGTGGTGTGATCTCAGCTCACTGCAACCTCCATGTCCCAGGTTTAAACAATTATCCTGCCTCAGCCTCTCGAGTAGCTGGGACAACAGGCGTGTGCCACCATGCCTGGCTAATTTTTATATTTTTAGTAGAGACAGAGTTTCAGCACGTTGGTCTGGATGGTCTCAATCTCTTGACCTTGTGATCCACCCACCTCGGCCTCCCGAAGTGCTGGGATTACAGGTGTGAGCCACCACGCCCAGCCAAGCATTATTTATGAAGTATATACTGTACTTTTTTATGAAAAGAAAGTAATAAAAAAATCCTAACTGCTCCTAAATTGTATATATTCCTTGGCAAAGCCCATTTATTTCCACAGAATAAGCAAAACTAAACCACAGCCCAGCATTTAATTAATGAGCTACCCTGTAAATTAAATCTTAAGTTTCTCCAGGTTTCTACTTGCTATAAGAACTTTAAATTCTTAAAAATTGATGACACTCTGGCCTTCAAGAAAACTCAATTACATTACATAAGATCAAAAAACCCCAAAATTCCAAATTGGTACTTAAAATAAGATGTTAAGCTATTACAAAGATGAATTAAATGCTCATTTTTAGAAAATGAGAATAAATCTGTTCTGCCATCATACTGTATCACTAAGTACATCTGTGGGTTTCCTAAGCACACAGCAATTTAAATTCTAGTAGTTACAACTAACGGCAAAAAATTATACCCTCAGATTATCTGCTTTTAAAATACAGGCTGAGAGTTAGCTTAGAGTTCTATAAAGCTGTCAGATAACAGGTACTAAGAGAAAAGGTCCTCTGAAGTCTAAAAGCAGAAGATAATGGATGCAGGTGGGGTGCAGTGATTCATGCCTGTAATCCTAGCACTTTGGGAGGCTAAGGTGGAGGGTCGTTTGAGGCCAGGAGTTCAAGACCAGCCTGGACAACCTGATGAGATCCCATCTCTACCAAAATGTAAAAAATTAGTTGGGCATATTGGTGCACACCTGTAATCCTAGCTACCTGGGAGGCTAAAATGGGAGGATTGCTTGAAGTCAGGAGTTCAAGGTTGCAGTGAACTATGACCATGCCACTGCACTCCAGCCTGGGGGGAAAAATAAGACCCTGTCTCAAAAAAACCACAGCTAGTGTGGTTGACTCATGCCTGCAATCCCAGCACTTTGGAAAGGGGAGACAGGCAGATCACTTGAGCTCAGGAGTTCAAGACAGCCTGGGCAACATGATGGAACCCTACCTCTACAAAACAACAAAAATTAGCCAAGTGTGGTGGCTGGTACCTGTGGTCCCACCTACTAAGGAGGCTGAAGCAGGAGAACCGCTTGAGCCTGGGAGATGGAGGTTGCAGTGAGCAGATATCCTGCCACTGCCCTCCAGCCTGGGTGACAGCAAGATCACGTCTTAAAAAAAAAAAACAAAAAACATGATGATAATGGATGTATAAGAGGTAGAAAAGCCTACTGGGAAATAATACTGGCCAGGCGCAGTGGCTCACACCTGTAATCCCCGTACTTTGGGAGGACAAGGCAGGTGGATCATCTGAGGTCAGGAGTTCGAGACCAGCCTCTCCAACATGGTGAAACCCCACCTCTACTAAAAATACAAAAATTAGCTGGGTGTGGTGGCAGGCACCTGTAATCCCAGCTGCTCTGGAGGCTGAGGCACGAGAATCGTTTGAACCCAGGAGGTGGAGGCTGCAGTGAGCCTAGATTGTCCCATTTCACTCCAGCCTGGGCAATGGAGCGAGACTTCATCAAAAAACAAACCAACAAAAACTATCGGCTCTTTGCTTCATAAACAAATATTCTCTCCTTAGACTCACCTATTTTTACATCAAGTTATCAGAGACATCACATTACCATTATATTTCTATACCCTCAAGAGTCTGATTTAATATATAAGTTCTTAATTTATTCATTTCCTTCTGAGGCATTCTTTTTTTTGAGACGGAGTTTCACTCTTGTTACCTAAACTGGAGTGCAATGGCACGGTCTCGGCTCACCGCAACCTCCGCCTCCCGGGTTCAGGAAATTCTCCTGCCTCAGCCTCCTGAGTAGCTGGGATTACAGGCACGCACCACCATGCCCAGCTAATTTTTTGTATTTTTAGTAGAGACGGGGTTTCACCATGTTGACCAGGATGGTCTCGATCTCTTGACTTCATGATCCACCCGCCTCAGCCTCCCAAAGTGCTGCGATTACAGGCGTGAGCCACCGTGCCCGGCCCTCTGAGGCATTCTTAAGGATCAAAGTCCTAGTGCATGCTGACTCTAAAAAAGTACAACATTGAAAAGAAACACATTTCTGATCACTACCTGTAGCAACACTGAGCCAGCAGAAAACCTGCTTGTTATTGACAACTCAAACATTTGAGCAATTGTTTGTACCCTACCTTTATTAACTGACATACAAGAGTATTTTAAAACATAAAAATGTTGTTACAGGTTGAGTATCCCTAATCTAAAACCCAAAATGCTTCCAAATCTGAAATTTTTGAGCATCAACATGAGGCTAAAGAAAATGCTCTTTGGAGCATTTTGGATTTTCCGATTACAGATGTTGAACCAGTAAGTATAATGCAAATACTCCAAAATGCAAAAAAATCCAAAATACTTCTGGTCCCAAAGATTTCAGATAAGGGATACTCAACCAGTATAATATACAATATAAGAATATACTTCACCGAGGCAGCAAACCACATTGCCATGTGTGTACCCATGAACAATCCTGAATGTTCTTCACATGTACCCCAAAACCTAAAATGCAATAAAATATTAAAAAAAGAATATACTTCACTGTTAATAATGGTCAAATTTTTCCTTTTGCATGTAAAAAGTGTAATATAAATAGCCCTGTATTTAAGCTTATAGACTCAGTACAATTGACTCAAAGAGACTATTCAGATCCTGTTGTTCAGAAATCTACCTCTGTCAAATAATTGATTTGTTTTCAGAAATGCTTTACATAGGCTGGGCGCAGTGTCTCATGCTTGTAATCCCAGCATTTTGGGAGGCTGAGATGGGCAGATCAGGATCACCTGAAGTCAGGAGTTTGAGGCCAGCCTGACCAACAAGGCAAAACCCTGTCTCTAATAAAAATACAAAAATACGCTGGGCATGGTGGTGCATGCCTATAATCTCAGCTACTTGGGAGGCTGAGTGAGGCAGGAGAATCGCTTGAACCCAGGAGGCAGAGGTTGCAGTGAGCCAAGATCATGCTACTGCACTCCAGCCTGGGAGACAAAGTGAGACTCTGTCTCAATAACAACGACAAAAAAAACTTTACATAGAGATTTGTATTGTCATGCCATACATTGGTGTAGGATTTGAACTGTATCATAACAGGAACTGTCAATAGCAGCTTAGCAAGCAAACAAGCCCCACACAGCTAAAAGAAATTTTATTTGTATTGATATGAAGTAGAAAAGGCAGAAAGAGAATTACTCTTTGGGGTGCCAAGGCAGACAGAACACTTGAGGTCAGGAGTTTGAGACCAGTCTGGGCAACGTAGTGAAACCCAGTCTCTACTAAAAATGCAAAACTTAGCCAAGTGCGGTGGCAGGCGCCTGTAGTCCCAGCTACTTGGGAGGCTGAGGCAGGGGAATCGCTTGAACTAAGGAGGTGGAGGCTATGGTGAGCTGAGATGGCACCACTACACTCCATCCTGGGCAACAGAGTGAGACTCCATCTCAAATAATAATAATAATAATAATAATAATAATAATAATAATAATGACAGTAGTCTGTTTTCATCTTTAATGAAGTAACTGCTAGCAAACTTTTTTTTTTTTAGATGGAGTTTTGTTCTGTCCCTTAGGTTGGAGTGCAGTGACATGATCTCAGCTCACTGCAACTTCCATCTCCCAGGTTCAGCCTCCTGAGTAACTGGGACTACAAGCGTGTGCCACTATGCCTGGCTAATTTTTATGTTCTTAATTTTTATAACCTTGGAGATACAGTTTTGCCATGTTGGCCAAACTGGTCTCAAACTCCTAAGCTCAAGTGATCTTTCAACCCTGGCCTCCCAAAATGCTGGGATTACAGGTGTGAGCCACTATACCCAGCCACATTTTAATCATTACAACTTAAACAAATGTGGAATTTCAATTTCAATTATGAAATACTTTTTAGCGACCATCAGATGAAAACCCTCCAATAACTGGTATTCTCATGAAAAGAGGCTACAAGGGACAGAGATCAATTCAGAAAAGGATTATCCTGTTCATCTCACCAGATTGATCAGTCTTCTCATCGCATGTTCATGAGAGCAAACACATTCACAGGGATCGAATCCACCTTCTGCCATGATTACCCAGCTTGATTTTACTTGACTGTTTAAATCTATGAGGAAGGAAATAATACTATAAGTCTATTATTCAGAATTACTCTTTCTCTTGAGCTATGAAAAATTCAGATATTGTATACACATTCACAACAGTTTTATTAAACTAAGTATAGCTGATATTTATTGTCTGCATCTATGAATTTATTATTAATCCTACATGAATTATGAATCTATACAGGTGAATTAGCTACACCTTCTGCCATCAGTCTAATCTAAAAATATGAATGTCTTCAGATGCTCTAAACTGGCCCCACCTGTGATGCTGATGATGCTAAGAACCAACTCTGCTTAATTAATTAACTTGATTAGTTCCAGTATGCAAACAATTTAAACCAGCCTTTACCCCCACCAAGACAGACATCTGAAAAGGTATCTAAAATGATACCAAGGTTTATGGGGAGAAATGAATGACATAGCTAAGAAACAGCTAGGTAGATTTTGAAAAATAAAGAGAAACAAGTGAGAGGTCAAGAGGGAGTACTGGCAACCGTACTTCCTGTTCTGCCTAAAACAATCTTTTAAAAACTAGACAAAATACATGAAACAACTGTATTATTATTATTTTTAAGATGGAGACTCACTCTGTCGCCCAGGCTGTAGTGCAGTGGTGCAATCTCGGCTCACTGCAACCTCCGCCTCCTGGGTTCAAGTGATTCTCCTGCCTCAGCCTCCCAAGTAGCCTGGATTACAGGCGTACACCACGCCTGGCTAATTTTTGCATTTTTAGTAGAGATAAGGTTTTGCCATGTTAGCTAGGCTGGTCTCAAACTCCTGACCTAGGGTGATCTGACTGCCTCAGCCTCCCAAAGTGCTAGAATTATAGGTGTAAGCCACCACGCCTGGCCAGAAACAATTGTTTTTAAGACATCAAGGCCAACCACATATTCTATCTCCATATGCGCCTGCAGTCGCAGCACTTAGGGAGGTCGAGGCAGGAGAATCGCTTGAACCCAGGAGGCAGAGGTTCCAGTGATCCAAGATCACACCATTGGACTATAGCCTGGGTGAAAGAGTAAGGCTCCATCTCAAAAAAGAAAAAAGAAAAAAAAAATAGCTGGGCATGGTGGCACTAAGCCTGTGGTCTCAGCTACTCAGAAGGCTGAGGTGGGAGGATTGCTTAAGCCCAGTAAGTCAAGGCTGCAATAAGCCATGATCACGCCACTGTATTCCAGCCTGGGCAACAAAGTGAGTTCACATGAAAAAACAAAACAACAAAAATAAAAAAATAAAATAAAATAAAAAAAGGAAAGAAAAAAAAAGAAAAATAATTAAAAAAAAAACAAAACAAAAAAACAGGCCGGGCACGGTGGCTCACGCCTATAATCCCAGCACTTTGGGAGGCCGAGGCGGGTGGATCACAAGGTCAAGAGATCGAGACCATCCTAGTCAACATGGTGAAACTCCATCTCTAGTAAAAAGACAAACAATTAGCTGGGCATGGTGGCATGTGCCTATAATCCCAGCTACTCAGGAGGCTGAGGCAGGAGAATTGCCTGAACCCAGGAAGCAGAGGTTGTGGTGAGCCTCCAGCCTGGGTAACAAGAGTGAAACTTCGTCTCAAAAAAAAAAAAAAAAAAAAAAAAAACACTGGGTGCGGTGGCTCACGCCTATAATCTCAGCACTTTGGGAGGCCAAAGTGGGTGGATGACAAGGTCAGGAGATAGAGACCATGCTTGAAAACATGGTGAAACCCTGTCTCTAATAAAAATGCAAAAATTAGCTGGGCGTGGTGGTAGGCACCTGCAGTCCCAGTTACTCAGGAGGCTGAGGCAGGAGAATCACTTGAACCTGGGAGGCAGAGGTTGCAGTGAGCTGAGACCGTCCCACCGCACTCCAGCCTGGGTGACAGAGGAAGACTCTGTCAAAAAAAAAAAAAAAGACACTGAACATGAGGTTACAAAGAACAGTGATGCCAGAGATACCAGAAAGATGGAAAAACAAATGAGTTGAGTCCTGAGTCCTATCACTGGCTCAGTTTACTGCCTCGAGGAGGTTCTAAGCCCAAGAGCGGGGTGAGAAAACCTAGACCAGCACAAGACAAGGATGCCCTCTCTCACCACTCCTATTCAATACAGTATTAGAAGTTCTAGCCACAGCAATCAGGGAAGAAAAATAAATAAAGGGTATTCAATTAGGAAAAGAGGAAGCCAAACTGTCTCTATTTGCAGATGACATGAAGACCCCATCATATCAGCCCCAAATCTCCTGACACTGATAAGCAAATTCAGCAGTCTCAGGATACAAAATTAATGTGCAGAAATCACAAGTATTTCTATACACCAATAACAGAGAGCCAAATCAAAAGTGAACTTTCATTCACAATTGCTACAAAGAGAATAAAATACCTAGGAAAACAACTAACAAAGGATGTAAAGGACCTCTTCAAGGATAACTATAAACCACTACTCACTGAAGAGAGGACACAGACAGAAAAACATTCCATGCTCATGGTTGGGAAGAATTAACATCATGAAAATGGCCATATTGCCCAAAGTAATTTATAGATTCAATGCTATTCCCATCAAGCTTCCAATGACCTTCACAGAAGAAGGAAAAAACCACTTCAAACTTCATATGGAACCAAAAGAGAGCCTGCATAGCCAAAACAATCCTAAGCAAAAAGAACAAAGCTGGAAGCATCATGCTGCCTGACTTCAAACTATACAACAAAGCCACAGTAATCAAAACAGCATGGTACTGGTACCAAAACAGAGACATAGACCAATGGAACAGAACAGAAAGCCTACACCACACATCTACAATCATCTGATCGTTGATAAACCTGAGAAAAACAAGCAATGGGGAAAGGATTCCCTGTTTAATAAATGATGTTGGGAAAACTGGCTAGCAATGTGCAGAAAGCAGAAACTGGACCCCTTTCTGATACCTTACACTAAAATTAACTCCAGATGGATTAAAGATCTAAACCAGGCATCCCCAAACTACGACCCCCTGAGGCCATTTATCCGACCCCCCGCTGCACTTCAGGAAGGGGCACCTCTTTCATTGGTAGTCAGTGAGAGGAGCACAGTATGTGGCGGCCCTCCAACGGTCTGAGGGACAGTGAACTGGCCCCCTGTGTAAAAAGTTTGGGGACGCCTGATTTAAACATAAGACCTAACAGCATAAAAACTCTACAAGAAAACCTAGGCAAAAGTATTCAGGACATAAGAATAGGCAAGGACTTCAGGACTAAAACACCAAAAGCAATGGCAACAAAAGCCAAAATAGACAAATGGGATCTAATTAAACTCCAGAGCTTCCGTACAGCAAAGGAAACAATCATTAGAGAGAACAGGCAACCAAGAGAATGGGAAAAATTTTTTGCAGTTTACCCATCTGACAAAGGGCTAATATCCAGAATCTACAAAGAACTAAAACAGATTTACAAGAAAAAAACAAACAAGCCTATTCAAAAGTGGGCAAAGGACATGAATAGACACTTTACAAAAGAAGACATCTATGAGGCCAACAAACATATGAAAAAATGCTCATCATCACTGGTCACTAGAAAAATGCAAGTCAAAACCACATTGAGATACCATCTCACACCTATTAGAATGGCAATCATTAAAAAATCTGGAGACAACAGATGCAGAAGAGGATGTGGAGAAATAGGAACACTTTTACACTGTTGGTGGGAGTGCAAATTAAGGCAACCATTGTGGAAGACAGTGTGGTAATTCCTCAAGGACATAGAAACAGAAATACCATTTGACCCAGCAATCCCACTACTGGGTACATACTCAAAGAATTATAAATTGTTCTATTATAAAGACACATGCACACATATGCTCATTGTGGCACTGTTTACAATAGCAAAGACCTGGAACCAACCCAAATGTCCATCAACAACAGACTGGATAAAGAAAATGTGGCACATATACACCATGGAATACTACACAGCCATAAAAAACGATGAGTTCATGTCCTTCATAGGGACATGGATGAATCTGGAAACCATCATTCTCAGCAAACTGACACAAGAACAGAAAATCAAACACGGCATGGTATCACTCATAGGTGGATGTTGAACACGTAGACACAGGAAGGGGAGTATCACACACTGCAGTCAGTTGGGGGGCACTAGGGGAGGGACAGCAGGGGGTGGGGAGGGTGGGGAGGGAGGGGAGGGATAATCTGGGGAGAAGTACCAGATATAGCTGATGGGGGGAGGAAGGCAGCAAACCACCTTGCCATTATGTACCTATGCAACAATCCTGCATGATCTGCACATGTACTCCAGAACCTAAAGTACAATAAAAAAGAAAAAGAAAAAAGAAAACCCAGACAAGAGCCTAGTGGTATCCCTAAGTTCGGAAGAAGAAGCTAGAAGAATGATTACATTAAGGAGAAACATTAAACACAGTAAAATCATCGAAACAGACTTGTAGAGATAAAAACAATAGTGTCTGAGATGAAACATACACCAGATGAATTTAACAGCACATTAGACATTACAGAAGAAAAGATTACTGAACTTGAAGATATAGGAACAGTAGCTATCAAAAATGAAATCATAGAAAAAAGGGTGGATCAGTAGTCCCAGCTACTTGGGTGGGTGGGGCAGGAGGACCATTTGAGCCCAGTTCAAGGCCAGCCTGAGCAACATAGTGAGAACCCATCTCTAAAAAAGTAAACAAAAACATACATAGGCTATTAGTGAATTGTGGAACAAATTCAGATAGTCTACTATATGTGAACTGTGGACACATTTGTCAAAACTTAGCAAATTTAAATGTGCACAGTTTGTTGTTTATCAACTATACCTCAATAACAAGTAAAATTAACGATTATATACAGCATTAGTCATGGAAAACCATTTTGGTTAAAAGGTGGAATAGGCAGATCAGCAAAACAATTCATAAATTAACTTAAAAGAACTTAGTTCATTCATTCATTCAAAAATATTTAGTGCTTGTGCTATGCCTATTAGAAATGTAAAAGTAGGTTGAGCACAGTGGCTCACACCTGTAATCCTAGCACTTTGGGAGGC